ACTCCCAAGTCCTTCTCTTCAGAGCTGTAATTTTTGTAAGGACTTTTCTCATCAGCAGCATTGCAAGCGTGCTGGACCTGTGGGGGCAATTCCTGTGCGTCCATCTATCTGGATAAATAGGAGCTGGAGTTTTTTCTCCTAAAGCAAGCAACCCATTACTGAAGCATCTCTAAATTTCCTCATTTAAGTTAAAAAGTAGCGCAGATAAAGTTGTGATTCAGCATTTTCTCCAGAGAGTTTTTTTCATGGATCTGCTGTAGTCATAAGTCATCTTTCACTCCCTCTGGAAAGATTTGTTCCTTGCTTTTTCAGGCTTACCCATTCCCTCAGTTAAAAAGAGAAATTACCAAAACAGAGCCTCAGACATCTGCCTGCAGTTCTGACCAGCACAGCTGATGCATAGCAGCTCTTGTTGCTGGGTTTGTTTTGCTTCTCTCTAGTCCCAGGTTCATGAAACATTTTATTTTTAAAAAAATCATTTAAGATTTAAGCGTGATTAACCTTGAGCTCCTTGTTTATTGCCAGGGCAGCTGGTTTGCAAACCCGGGTGGATCACCTGTTCCAGGGCTGTAACTGCCTTCTGCCATCTACAGGCAGATCTGTGCCTGGAAAGGGGATTTGCCTTGTTTTTCACACCGTACCAATTCTCTGCAGCAACTTGAGGGAGATTGTTCTTTTGAAGCATCTCAGAGTGAAAATCCATACCTACAAGTAGTTAGAATAGAAACTGCGTAGACTGTAGTATCCGAAACAGATGTGCCTTCGAGTAAGCTGTTATTTTTGATAGAAAATGACATAGCAAAATGAATCCAAATTCTGATTTTATTACATATTTTATTGTTCACACTTTCAGCAGTGTGAATTCGAACTTTCAAATATTCCTGCCATAGGTATTCTTTCAGCAGAGCCAATCACTCAGCATCAGGAAAGGTTACACTTGTACTTCAGGAGCTGTGGTCTCCATTTCTGAATAACTTCTGGAGTGTTTTTCTTCTTAAATTCAATAAAATAGTTATGGGATGCCGCTATGGCTTGCTCTTAAACATCAAGTTTATAGAATTAGGTTATGAAAAGTTAATTGTGGCAGCTGAGGGTAAGTGATTTAAGTAGTTGTATCCCAGGGAATGCACTGCAAGGGACAGGCATGGATGGAGCTGGACCACCCAGGTATCTGTTGCTCTTTGGGGGATGCTGCCCCGTGTATCTCCGGAGCCGCAGTCACAGTGTGGCAGGGACAGACACAGAAAGTTGTTGCAGAGGAAGATTCCAGCTCAGGGAATGTGTAGGTGACTCCTTTGAAATCAGTGATAAAAGTAAAGCCACTGTGTGGCAGTGCTGGAGATGCCTTTGCCCATTAGTGATACAGACTGGGGCCAGAGAAGGTTTTGCACGGCATAAACACGAGGGTTCCTCTTTGACAGAGTCGTGTGGGCACTGGTGTCGCGATGCCAGCAGGACTGTTGTGCGGGGTGTCTGCTCACAGTGGCCAGACAGAGTTTGCTCTAGTGTTATATTTTAACTCCTCAGTCTCCCCCCACACTGGCCTGGTGAATTCATCTCAATTTTCCTTTCAAGTTCTTCATTTCAGCTTTCATTTCAGCTTTCACGTACAGCTTCGAGTGGCTGTATATCAAAATGTTGGTAAAGTACAAAAACAATTTAATTAGGTAAATGTCAAAACTACACTTTGCATCCAACCTCTGTGGAGTATTTTGTTAAATTTGGATTTGCTTCTTGGTCCCCGTTCTACTAGATATTTGGGCTACAACCCTGGCTAAACTGAATGATGTAATGATCTTTTCCAAAGAACCAAACTGTTCTATGATTCTCTGATTCTGGGAACGTCAGCATCATTTTAATGAGATCACAGTTTGCAGGTAGACTGCTGACGCTCCGATGCACACAACATAGGAAAGCAACTTGCCCAGAAATGTTTGTAAATACAGACCGTGCTGTTTTCTTTTTATCTTCAAAGTCATAAGCTGCAAAAAGCTTTCCATCTTAATTATGCTAATTCTGTATTTTCCCACTGGGAAACCCAGCTCTCCCTGTCTCATATGTTATGATTCCCTTTCAAACAAAATTTTATAAGAAAGGAAGTCGAATCCTATTTTTAAATACTATGTCCAGTATTTTGGGTAGGATCACGCTTAGGCTTCAAGTTCCAACCGAGGTAGATGTGTGTTTGCTCATGCAAATAAAAACGTTAGCACTTCCTCCAAAAGCCTTGTTTCCATTTTAAAGGATTTTAATTGCCTTCAAAAAAATATAATAAACTAAGCTCATCTTGTCATTCACCTAGTGGAAAGAGCCGATGCAGAGATAGAGGCGGTGGGCTTCGCTCTTAGGGCTCTGCCTTTGTACTGGGTTTACTTTGGCCTGCTGCCTCGTATGTATTTTACACTTCTTTACATTTCGTACACCCATGTATGACAAATACTTGTCAAACAAAAACTGAGCAGATTTATAACCGCTTAACTTGAAATGAGCCCTTCCTGCCAAAACTTTATGACTTCATTTTCTTTCATAGTTTTCCACTATGTTGGTTCAAACAGACAAACCCAGCCCCAGGTCAGACAGAGGTCATTTCACTTTCATTACTAAAATATAATTTACAATATGCCAGACCTAAACAAGTTTTAGCCTAAAGGATTTGTATAATATAAACCATCTGTTCCTCAACAATATAGCTAATTTCCTGCCATCACCGTACAGTCTACTGGCTGCCTGCTTAAGTGGCATTATTATTATTATTATTATTATTATTATTATTATTATTATTATTGCAGTATTTGTCTAGAAGTCGTAAGTGGTCAATACTATTAGAATTAATTTATTCTAAAATGCCATTTTTAATTTTATTATTTTTTTAAATGTCAGTTCTTTTCCTACATTGCTGCTGTAAAGCTATTGTTATATTTCAGGAATGCAAATGTTGATGTTTACCCTCATTAACGAAACAAAGATCCCACAGTCATTAGCTTAATGACGATACTGAAGACCCTAACTGAATGGATTTGGGTGTTGACACATGTGGAAGTCAACACCTGAAAATAATACATTTTCTTTATGACCTGATGGTGAATATATGCACCCAGGATAACTACAGAATGTTTTAAAAATTCACCTTTCTTTTTTTGACCACTATCTCATTTTTCCAGCTGACTCTGCCCGGCGTATCTCAGGACTGAATGTTCAGTCAAGTCAGAATAGAAATAGTCTCTACTGTACATTGAAGGGTTAATAGCAAAGTCGAGGAAGAACTGGCTATAAGGTCATATTTTAAAAAAAAAGAAAAAAATCTGCTAAAACTTTAGGCCCTGGCCAGAAAACACTTGAGCATGTACTTAACTTAAAGTACATGAATTGCCTCAATTCCTGAAATTAGTCAGATTCAATCTGAAGCATAGAAGTGCTCAAGGCCAAGTATATAAATGCCTGTGCTGAAATGCTGATGGTTCCTGCATGTATTTAGGTTGAATACTTACTACTTTTATCTGATCTTGGGTAGAGGGTTAAAAGTCATTCTGAATTGAATTTTGGAGCAGGCTATGCAGACAGATTAAGAGGCACTCGACCCTGAGCTGGGCTGGTGTTGGGATGCTGGTGTCACCCGGGCTGTATCTGGCCAGGGGCTGATGTTGTCACACCAGTTCCCACATCTCACAGGACCAAACAGGATTGTTGCCAAATGGATGTATGGCCCAAGGGAGTTCCTGGGTCGATCTGCTTGGATTTCAGATGTCCAGCAAAAAGGTCTTTGTCTTAAAAATATTTTTTCAGATGTGTTTTTCTAACATGTTTTTGCTGTGGTTGCTTTAACAGAGTAAGGCTAAGGAGTTGCCTCTGTCTGCTGTTCGTTTCATGGAAGAACTGGGTGAATGTGCTTTCGGCAAGATCTACAAGGGACATCTCTACCTTCCAGGCATGGATCATGCTCAGCTCGTTGCTATCAAGACACTAAAAGACTTTAACAACCCCCAGCAGTGGGCAGAGTTCCAGCAAGAAGCATCGCTCATGGCCGAGCTCCATCACCCCAACATCGTTTGCCTCTTGGGTGTTGTGACCCAGGAGCAACCTGTCTGCATGCTTTTCGAGTACATGAACCAAGGAGACCTCCACGAGTTCCTCATCATGCGATCGCCACATTCAGACGTTGGATGCAGCAGCGATGAGGATGGGACTGTAAAATCCAGCCTGGACCATGGGGATTTCCTGCATATTGCTGTCCAGATTGCAGCGGGGATGGAGTACTTATCGAGTCATTTTTTTGTCCATAAAGATCTCGCCGCTCGTAACATTTTAATTGGAGAACAACTTCATGTGAAAATCTCAGACCTTGGCCTCTCGAGAGAAATCTACTCGGCAGATTATTACAGAATTCAAAACAAGTCTCTCTTGCCAATTCGCTGGATGCCACCGGAGGCGATTATGTATGGCAAGTTCTCTTCCGATTCAGATATTTGGTCCTTTGGAGTTGTTTTATGGGAAATATTCAGCTTTGGACTTCAACCGTATTATGGATTTAGTAATCAAGAAGTCATAGAGATGATCAGGAAAAGACAACTGCTGCCATGCTCTGAAGACTGTCCTCCCAGAATGTATAGCCTGATGACAGAGTGCTGGCATGATCTGCCATCCCGGAGGCCACGATTTAAAGAAATCCATGCCAGGCTGCGCTCCTGGGAGGGTCTTTCAAGTCACACTAGTTCTACTACCCCCTCGGGTGGGAATGCCACCACCCAAACGACTTCCCTCAGCGCCAGTCCGGTTAGTAATCTCAGTAATCCCAGGTACCCTAACTACATGTTTCCAGCACAAGGAATACCGCAAGGCCAAATCGCCGGCTTCATCGGGCCACCGATACCTCAAAACCAGCGATACATCCCCATCAACGGGTACCCCATCCCACCAGGATACGCTGCTTTCCCCGCTGCCCACTATCAACCGCAAGGTCCACCCAGGGTAATTCAGCACTGTCCTCCTCCAAAGAGTCGTTCTCCCAGCAGCGCCAGCGGATCGACGAGCACAGGTCACGTCACTAGTTTGCCGTCTTCGGGATCCAACCAGGAAGCCAATATTCCCTTGCTATCTCATATGTCAATTCCTAGTCATCCGGGGGGAATGGGTATGACAGTTTTTGGCAATAAAACTCAAAAACCATACAAAATGGACTCGAAGCAGTCTTCCCTATTAGGAGACTCCAGCATCCATGGACCTAATGAATCTATGATTTCAGCCGAGTTGTAAATAAGCGAGGCCTTTGTAAATATATAACTATTTACAATACAAACTAGAAAGTCGTAGCAAAGATTTATATTCAAATATTTTTATTAAAGATTCTTCTGGTTGTTTAACAGACATCGCGGCAAGTATCTTCTGTGAAGTTTCACTGCTTAACAGGATGGGCGGATGGGCAGACTCGACCAGACAAAGATCTTTGTGGTATGAGTAGTCGGCTTTGTCAATGGACGCATTGTTGCTTTAAGTGCCACTGACAATTCAAAAAGGGGAAAGGGTTTGGGGTTTTGGGGGTTTTTTTTAAAATAAAAACACTTTACCCTATGCTTTTTCACAGCTTTCTAAACCTCTGATGTGGTTTAAATCACGGAAACTTTTTTATACTGAAAACATATTTTAATATTTGTCTCTTTTTTTAGGAGATGCAAATATTCGGAAATCTGCTGGGTGTGCAATTTCAGTTGCAATGGCTAGTTAAAATATTTGTAAATTTTGCAGTCAAGGATTCTGTTTCAAATATGTGATCTGAGAGCTGAATCGATTACTTCAGGTAGGATTTTGGTCTTTCGTTAAGTTGGGAGTCTGAGTTCAGATTCAGACCAAAAAAAGTCATTTATGTGACAGCACAATAGCTCGAGTTACCAACTGGCAGTCTACAAAAATCATCTGCTCTTGGCTGCTAAAGATGGCTGGAGTTCTAAGAAATTGCCTTAAAGGAAATGAAATTAAAGCGTTTTAATTTCAGAACCTGAATCAACTTATTCAAAGATAACTTTTCATAATCTAGTAGTTAAAGCAGAAATTTTATATCCTTTTGTTGCTATGCAACTGTTTAATGGAAAGGCTCCAAACCACAATTTTATATATGACAATCAGTTTTCCCAGGAATATTTATTTTTTCAGATCAATGTGACTATGACTCCAGTTACCCTAAAAAAGGGAAACTCGCGTTCCAGCAGGCAGCAAATCCATTGATAGCAGTTTTGTCTATCAGTTCTAATAATGTGAATTAGCGTTAACTTTCAACTTAGACATACCACATTTGTATAATTACTAAAAATTCATTCAGGTATAAGCAATCTAGATAATTCATTTGAAACCACTTTAATGAGACACAAAAGTGCCGTGTACGTTACGGTTTTTCACAGACTTTTTTTTGTACTGAATAGTATTTTTATTGTACACGGAACGAAAACAATCTTTTGCTCAGTTGACAATGTTGTATAATATGACTTTATTTTTATCTCTTTTGCACAAAAGTGTGATAATGTTTTGTACAGCAGAAGTGAAAATACATCTCTGCATTTTATATCTTGGTCTGTTTCTTTTTTGTTTTTAACCTGATGTAGATGTTCTTGAAATATATTATGGTGATATTCAGCCACTACCTTATACAAATATTTTTCTTTGTTTTCACTGCATGCGTTTAATCACTGTATTACTTGATGATTGATTTATTAATTATGGGCATTTCAATTAGGCGAGCATGAAAATGTAACAACAAAGGCTATTTTATAATTAAGATACGTGCATTTTTGTATTTCACATGCCAGAGATGATATTAAACACTGATTATTTTATGCTGCTGTTTATTAAAACATTGTTTTAATATAAACATATCGGTATTTCCTCCCTCTTGGTGTAAGATATTTGAAGAATTTTGTATTTAACAGCTAAAAATCTGCTCACTCAGCCCAGGTAGGGAGTCTGCTGAAACGCTCACTTGAATGGGACATGAGAGTTTTGCAAATAATATTTGCAGGCGGGTGGCTCAGAGGTGACAGAGAGGCTCAGGTGAGTATTTGACTGCAAATATTTGCAGAGCACACAGCAGAAGCAGGAGGGCATAGCTGCTCTGGGAGAATGATGCAGTCTTTGCTGTGATCTCATCGGTGCCGTTCAGCTCCCCACCAAGGGCCAGCGTCACCCTTTGAGCCTCTTGCTGAAGTGTTTACGTCCCGCTGCATCCTAGGAGCTTTCGTGGGACGTTGTATTGCTGCAGCATCCGGACCTGCCAAGCTTCCTCTCCATTGCACAGGCCTGAAACTGTACTTGCAGATTAAGAACAATCAGTAATTATATAGTAAGGACTTTTGTAACTTCTGAGATACTTTATGAACCTGAGATGTCAGCTGCCACGTGGTTTGAATTTACATCTGGATCAGTAATGAAAATACGTGACGTTAGTTAAAGTTTAGTTTTGACTGAAGGTTCAGACAATAGTTACATCTATATCTGTGTCAGATTATCAGACTTGATAAAAAATTACTTCTGAACAGAGGTGTTTTACAGGAAGGGATGAGATGTTTTCTCTGAGCTGTGGCTATTAACGTAACCAGAGGCTGGGGAATTGCTCCATCTCACTTAGGTACCTACCCAGCTTTGCAGCGCTCGCTTGGCATCTTGTTCAACAGACAGTAACTGTATTGTCCTTCTTGATCCAACTTTTTTTTTTCTCTCATCTCCTCCTGCATACATTTTGAGTGGTTACATCAGTGCAAACAATTCTTTTGCATCTTAAGCATCAAATGCACTGAGAAGAAAAAAGCCTTTTTTCCCACCCATTTTTCCTATGAGATTTCTTAGCTTGTACCTTTAAGGGCTTGAAATTTCAACAGTGCCAGTTTAAAGACAGTCTGCCACTTCCTAAGTATCTGGTTTCAGAAAGAGAAGAAGCTCTATGCAGCCAAACAAGTCTGTGGTCCATAGGTTCTGCTGCTAATGCAAAATCTTCAGTAAAGAACATGCTGTAAATGAAACCAGTGGAGAAATAAAAATCTTTGCACCATGGTCAACACACAGACATTTGTGCAAAAATGTGATTAAAATGATATTGGGATTCTGCAATCAGTGATATCAAAGTATTCGCTCATCACTGTCAAGCAACAGCCTTCACTGAGTGGAACTGTGAAGACAATGGAAGTATCTTCAGGAGGCTCTCTGTTCATCTTCACAGGCTGAGAAAGAGAGCCGTGGAGCCAGCTCAGGAGACATCTGGACAGACTTCCTCTGCCAGTTGGGATGACAAGTGCCTACGTGTCCCATCAGCTCAAATTTGAACATATTAAGCATAATTCCAGAATTCAGTTCAATCCTGTAGAGACAAGTGTGAGCCACACTCGAGTCAAACCAGCCTCACACTGGTGCTACACACACGTAGCTCCCGTGGGACTGCCAGCTTACGCAGGTGAGCTTAGCTGGGAATTTGCATCCTTAGCTTTAATTACCCTGATAGCAAAGCAGTAACCTGATACTGAATGGAGCAGCAATGGGAGTCATAAAATAGTCCCTCACACACTTTGTGGTTTTATGTTAAAAAAACCAGGAGCCGCAGTGCAAGCCCACTCACAGCTCAATTTAGGGTTTTTCCTTTATTTCAAAGTAAGCTGAGGCCTCAAGGTTAAAATATTTTTAGACTCCCAGATGTAAACCAGCACTGCACGATGCACCTGAAAACTCGTGCAAAGGCCTCTTCCTGCCCTTCTCTGCCTCTCTCAGCGGGTGAAGTTTGTGAACTGTGAGGCTGAAATCGCAGTCTGGCTCACAACCGATGCGTCAGGAACAAACGCTAACGCAGAGAGGCAGGAATTCATCAGGGAGAGATTAGAGGAGGAAAATCTTCTAAAGACCAATTAGATAATGTGGAAAATAAATGTTGCCAGAAATTAAGGAATTACTCCTCAGGTGGGAATGCAGACGTACGGATGAAAGCTATTTTCATGGCAAATGAAGGAAGAAGGAATTTTCCAGATTCCTAATGCTACATGCTGGAATCATCATCCCTTCTTCCTTCAAAGAGACAGGACAGCCGACGCTGTTGGAAATGCAGTAATGGATGGGGAAGCTCTAGAGGTTTGGAAATAAAACTCTGAATGAACACTGTTTAGTAAACCTAATCTGGAGAACCTCATTCGCTCCAGGTTAGCTTGTATTTCTGTTAGAGAGAATAAATATTTGCTGATTTAAAGACCGAAATGCAGAGCCTGAAATGGAGATTTCCGTCCTTTGTTCCCACAGAGGTTGTAGTGGGTTTCTGCATGCTCTGGATTGAAAGCAGAAGGTAAAGCAGAGAACTGCTTGGGCAGAAATTTGGGCTAGAAAACTGACAAATACTAACATCTGTTTGTCCAGAGCATGAGAAATAGTCAAAAAGGAATCTGTTATTTGCTTTGCATGAATAAGGATATCCAAGAAGGTTGTTCCAATACTGTTCTGCAACCTCCACTCACCAGGAGAACTTTAAAATGTCCACCTAACTCAAACCACTCCTGACAGTAAGGCAGGCGATACAAAAACTGTGTCTCAAGTACAAACATGTGCTGTTCCCTGTGGACCCTGTTCTGTGGAAGGAGAACCTTCAGCAGCTCTTGGCTCCAGTGGCTTATTTATCAGAAGGTATTTGGCTTGTTGGCAGGATCTTCTCAGTATGTTCAGCGTTGTCTTTGCCTCCTCACAAAGTGGAGTTGTTTGACCAAAGGGTACTTATTTTCTTCTATTCCATACCATTAGGCCTAGCTTGGTCAAGTGCAGCTCGGGCTAAAGAGGAGCTTCGTAGCCAGGACTGCCTTTCAGGAGGCACTAGGAAGAAGTTGATGGGCTAAGCCACCCTCTGTCCTTGAACACCACATCTCACTAGGTGTTAGGTGCATCAGAGCACTAAGGTAGCTACGAGTTCATCATCCACCCTCCCCATGCAAGCATAAGATACAATAACTGGTTATAAATTATATATATTAATTAGAAATACATGAGCATGCTAAAGCTGCAGGTAGGGAGAGAGGGCTGTTTAGATGTGGCGAAGATGGGAATCTCACAGGAAGGTCAGGTTGGTGAAGAAAGTTGTTTTCATTGTTCCTTATGACTTGGCATAAAACACACTGAAATCCACAGGAGCCTTTGCATTGTGGTGTCTGAATCCGGCTTTCTACCTCCTGGAGAGTCCTTAGGAGTTTTAATGAACTTGATGAAACCCTGAACCTTCAGAGATTTCAACCAACTCATGAGAAATTTGATCTTGCAGCACAAGTTCACAAACAGTTCTGATGCACACACAGAAGCCAGCAGCAAGAGACGTGTTAACACCTTTGTTCAAAAGAATAATTCTGTTCAAAACCCGAATTTTGTTCCAAAGTACTACAATAAACAAACAAACAAAAAGTCACTTTTTTATTTGCAGAAAAAAATGCAGCATCTTTACTGTATGTTACAATATTTTATCCAGTATTTCTTTGGAATATGAACTCATCATCGTTCTGTGGTCAGGGAATGGAATGAGGAGCCACGTTAAGCTGAATTTCCCCACCACTGGTTCTGCTGGAGAACCTCAGTGGAAAAACAAGGCCACTGGGCTTCAGCCTGGGTTTTAAGCTAGCAGAGAGCAAATGTCGTTTGGTGAGGAAGCACCAGATGCTTTTTGAAAGACCACCTCCTTTGTGGTCCACAGGCTGATCCCTAAATTCCTCTCCCCAGACAGCACAATGCCTTCACAGTATGTCACCTTGCACCTTTGTCCCAGATGTTTCTTTTGCTTGAGGCAGAGCCAGCACATTTATTCCAGTGAAAAGACAGTAGCCAAACAATTCTCGGCTGTTAGACTTGCAGATCATGGCTAAACCGAGGAGGTCTGAGGGTGCTGGGACCAATCTTAAAGCATGTAGTCACCCAAACCACATCCTCGACTTCTCTGAGGCTTTTGGCTGCATCTTCAATGGCGATGTTTTTTTGTGGCCCCAAGTCTGCTCTCTCCGTGGGCCTGAAAGCCTCTCTTAAAGATGTGATGTTCATGGAATCTGAGAAGCAATTTTTATCTTGCTGTGGGCTATCTTTTATAGGAGGAGAGAATATTGCCCCCAAGTCAGTCACTCTCTATCCCATCATATTTCTTCCTGTTTGATCTCTCAAAGATTAAAGTTCAGTATATTTCAGGACAGTTATATTGCTGAGGTAATATAAAATTATTAAAAACAGAGAGAGAGACAATATTGTGACTGCACATCAAAAGCTCTTTAAGACAAAGGAGGGAAAATTGACTTGAAACTGGAATTATTAGAAGCATCTGTGGTGTCCTTTATTTTCCATTTAACAGTGGAGCACATTCGGGAAGGGTGTCGATTTTGAACTGGCAACCTGCTATTGCCTTAATTTTCTGATTTGTACCCTAAACCCCGTGGTTTATCTGCTGCTGCAGAGGGGAAAAGCAACTGTTGGTTAATGAGTTGTGACTTTAAAAAAAAACAGGAGTTTTTAAACCACAACTGGTACTTGGAGTGCAACGTGTGTATGATTGTTATATATGTGGGTACATGTATC